TCCTCCTGGGAACTCTGCCTTTCTTATCAAGGAGATAGGCAACCACTTGATTACAGCAATGGTTGTTTCCCATCCTTACATACATAAGCAGGGGTTTCTCTCCTCCAGCAGCTATCCAACAAACAGCTCTGCTGGTGGGAGAGGTGACACTGCCCCCAGCCCCTGGGTGACTTCTCAGCCTATCCTGGAGAGGAACAACTCCTTCACCAGACCGCACAGGCTGCCCTGATGACATGCAGATGGAACACCTAAACAGAACAGCCATGTAGCTCATCACTGGCTCCCAAAACCAGTCACATCAGCCTCTAGGGACTGATGCCCACCCTTGTCCTTTTGGGCATACCCTGCATATACATGTATTTGTCTACAAAAAAGCTTCAGAATTCAGAGAATTCAGAATTTCAGGATTCCAATGTTGTCAGAGAAATCCTCTGCACATTATTTGTATTTCTTCATAATATGTCAAAGCTCCTACAACACTGTGAAGTTGCATGGCCTGAATTTTCTAATGTTTTCCTTGAAGAGAAAGTTACCAGAAGGAATAATGACCAAAACCCACTCTGGGACTTGTCTAAGCACACTCTGTGGCAGAGTGTGGGAGGAGGAAGGGGGTTTCTCATATCGGCACAACCAGCTCTCAGGTCCCAGATGTCACAGTTTGAGTTTGCCAAACAAAATACCCTGATTTGGCCACTTTCCATGGGGAAAAATGTTGAATTTCCAAAAACCAGTGTTCTTTGAAGGGCTGAAACTGGGCAAAAGGCTGGATACAGTGTCTAAGAAAAACAGTTGTTATGGTAGTAACATCTGTGTGGGGGCACTGTGTACATGTGTGATGCAGGAGTCTTAGACTAAGAAATTGTAAGTATCCAACTCCAGGTATAAACTCTCAAAAACCTATAGATTTTATTGTATCCATTTCTTGAAAGCATCCCTATGAAGAATTTTTTCTGTGTATAGAGAGGTAAACAGATTGCAGAAATCAGCTGTGTGTTGATTCTCTTAAGGATAATTTGCACATTAACATGGAAACATTGCTCATGCACTACTGAAAGCAGAAATTTGTTTTTCAAGACAAGCTATATTGAAATGTATGAAAATGGGCAATTAGTGTAATTCTGAATAATAAACTGAAGCTTGTGGTATAGAATTGTTTGTATGAGCTAGTAGAAACTTACACTGGAAAAAAGTACATCATACCTGGGTAGAAATATTGTTATTTTGTACAAAAATAGGTTTTGGTACAGAAATGGTGTTACTTGGAATGATGGTCTTTTGCCCCTTGTCCACAGGGGACACAGAAGGTGAAGTTTTGAGGTAGGTGAAGGGAAGGTGGAACTTTTTCTTTTCTTAACTGTGGTTTCTACCCAAGAAAAATTGGCTTAAGAGATTGTTCTGGATGACGGATGAATCTGGTATTCCTTCAAAAACTGCTATTGATTTCGTGCTGTATGTGCTGATCTGACAAAATGTTCCCCAAGTAAAATGCAATCTGAGCTCCTTGAGAGAGGCTTCATAGAGAAATCAAATCAAACAAAAATGGGAGCTTGGGCAGTTCATGCATTCCACAGTGATACTTTAGTCTTTGTGATATTTTAATGGATCAGAAGGAGATGCTGAGCTGGGCAGTTAAACAAAGACCAACAAAAGACTTTTGAGTACAGCTGGAGGCATGGCAGGTACTTGAAGGCTGCTCTCCCACCTTAGTCTCTACTTCTACAGTCTTGTTTCTCTAGGGTACGTCGTATGTTTTTCTTAGTGATATACAGCAAAAGTTATCTGGATAACTGCTTGTGCGCTGTTTTCCCTGCTTCAGGATTAACAGTGTTACCTGTGAGATCTTCACAAGCTACCAAGGTTCCTCCAGGAGCAGGTCTAGCCCACCCAGCGTGTGAAAGAGTTATCCCAGTTCAGCTTGCCTTCTTTTTTTTCAGGAAGTCTTGTGAGTTCACAATGAGATCACAGGACCAGTCCATGGGTCCGACCCGCCTCTCTTGAGTTATCCCAAGCCCTGTGATCCCTCGGAGGTGGAACTGGATGCCCCATCCAGAGCATCCTGGGGGAGGGACACAAGACTGCTCAGAGCTGCTTTCTGCAAACCACCTGTGCACAGGCAGGACAGCAATGACATCTCTGAATGAAGTGTGGCCCCTGCAGATGACATTTCCCTTCACACCTGCTTGCTGACCAAGGGACCACAAGGCCGGTGTGGTCCAGGAATGTCTGCACAAGCTTGTCACAAAAGGGTGGCTTCCAGGATCCTGCTGGGTTGAATGTCTCTCTTGGGGCATTGGAAACACCTCTGTCTCTCCCCACATGTTAAACAGAGGGAGTGGGTAGCTTCAACAAACCTTTTAGGGTCTGCACACCCCCATGCAGATTGTGAAGGAGCTGAGTCACAACGTGTAAAGTTGGGGTTGGGATCTGACCAAAGACAAAGCGTTTGCTATGCAGGACTGTGAAGATGACAGTCTCTGTCCCACAGCTCAGGTGGCTGTCACCACTTCTTGTAGCCTTCGTGTAGGGCAGAGGGGACTGCAACGAAACCAAAGAGCCAAAACAACTCTCTTAACTAGGACACAGCACTGTAAACTTTACCCTGCTATTTTCTCTAATCTGCACACTTGGTTTAGCTCTCAGGCTGCACTGCTCTTGCCAGTGGGACTTGGAGGTTGGCCTCCAGCCTTTGGGGTAGGGTTCCAGCCTTTGGGATAGGGCTCAGAAGCTCTGGAAGACTCCAGGACCAATATTGTTCTACCCGAGAGTTTGTTATAATCTCCTCCCTTTCAGAGCTAATCTCTCCCCATCACAGCTGTTCCAACATTAATGAGTACTTTTGAGAGCTCAGCTTTTCTGCTAAATGATACGTTTTCCTCTTTTATTAGTCCATTAGGAGAGTTATTACAGCTCAAGTGCTCTGTCCTATTTGGATGAAAACTACTTAGATAAATAGCAATGAATTCCTCATCCTCAAATAATGGTCTTTCTGGGTGCCAGTACATGATGTGCCCTGGGGTGTCCCATCTGCTCCATGAAGGGTGGGAGGATTAGCAGAACATGGTCGAAGGGCACTACTGGGTAGTGTTGGGAGGGGAGCCGGGGCAAACATATAAGACTCGTGGAGAGATGAAAGAAGCAACTGAAAACCTCTGAGGGGGCAAGACCTAGAGAAGAGATGAAAAATGGGTTTGTAGGGAAGTCTCCAATCTGGTCAATTCGAAAGGATTTTTCTTAAACCTGATTTCTAGAGGAGAAAGCCCTGGGTAGCAAGGAGAAATGGTGCCCAGCAGGTGCTGGACTTCACAGTAGCCTTAAAAACTTGCTTAAAAATATTGCTTTATAAAACATAATTAACCTTCCTCCAGTAATGTGCATCTGAACAGCCTGATGTGTGCATCTGCTCCATTGCATTTCCTCTGGTTTCCCCCAGGAGGTGAGATTCGTCTCTCTCCCCAGCAGTGTGGAGCTGCACCTTTGCTAAGGGGGAAATCTGTGATCGCTGCACTGATGAGTAATTCTTTAAATCCCCTAACACTAGCTGCCGTCTCTATTATTGTGGATACAGAAGAGCTATTTTATATTTCAAGGATATCAGTGTGGGTGGTGTGGCCACATCCTCTTCTAAGCCATGCAGGAAGGAAGCAATTACTCTTCATGAGTTTCAATCTACACTGTGACAAAGCACTATTTTGCTAGTCACGCCCAAGCTTACCAGCCTCTAGCCTCTTCCTGAAATATCCTTCCTTCTCAATGCTCAGTGATGCTGACTCCTGCCCGTTTGGTCCCCAGCACTGGTTTTTGACCCAAGCTGTGCAAAAGGGGGGTGGGTGATGAGGCAGCACGTGAAATTGTACTGGGACATGCAGGACCTGAAGCCTGTGAGCCCTAATTCCCCTAGGGAAGGAGCTCTGCTGTCCTATCCACTGCAGGTGCACCTTTCCTTTGGGATACTCCACACATTGCCAGGCTTCGTGGTCTCTTCCCCTGGAGTGCAGTTTCCAGGTTTTCTCCCATTAAATTTCGTATCAGTTAAACTAAATACAAGATTTACAAATGGAGGTCAGCAAATTGCTGCCACACCCTTTGTGAATATGTAATTGCACGTACTCTTCCTGCTTTACATCAATTAGTAGGTGCCACCTGTGCATGTCACTGTGCACATCAGTGAAGCCAGGACTGTCCACCCAGAGATACAGGCTGAATTTGGAAAAGCCCAGTTATCAAAGAACTTTGGTTTAGTGTGTCTCTCTTAAAATCAGCACATCAGTAAGTCCTGCGGCCTTTAGTCCAGTGCTGTTTTATCTCAGGGGATCCTGGTGAGAAGATCCAGCCTCAAAGGGGAGGAACTGCAAGCATTCTGGTTTCTTAACACTTTGTTTCCAGGTCTGCAGACTCCAGAGTTTCTCAGCAGGCTCTAACAGAAAGTTTCTGCTTTTTAAAATCATGCTCACACCCAGGAGTCCAGGTGCTCTCTGTCTGGTTTTGGCTTCCCCTGCAGCAAGGGCAGAGGTTCCCCAGGTGTCACTGGGGACGTGGTGTGTACCAGGTGGCTCCTGCAGGAGCAGAGGAGGCAAGTGATGCCTCGGTCCACCCTCTGGTATGCTGTGGTTTGTGTCTCTGCATCTTTTGCACTGCGAATTGCAACTGATGGAAGTGCCAGGTGGGATGGATGGATGGATGGATGGATGGATGGATGGATGGATGGATGGATGGATGGATGGATGGATGGATAGGGGGCCAGGAGTGTGCATGTGTGAGCTCAATGCATGTTCAACATGGTGGCTGTTCAGGCTGATGTCCTGGGGGCACTGATGACAACTGACTGGGAGAGCTGGCAGTGCCACAGCAACTGTGCCCAGGAACCAGCTTTCTTCACTATTTTATAAAGCTGATTTTATTTTTTTCATCTTGGCTATCTGCTCTGCCTCCAAGGAGGGACAGACATGAACATCAGCAGAAGCTGCATGCTAAAGAAAATCCAGCCACACTGACCTCAGAAAATTTTATTTAGTTACTTTATAGGAGTGATATTTATCAGTATTAATCTAACACTGTTATCAGAAGACATTCACGCAACCTCCTGAAATTACCTGGCTATGTGTAATATGCCACATATAAATAAATGCCATTGTAAATGTCGAGTCATACAAGAAGATAAATAAAGTAGTTTCCTGGGCTCATTAGAGCTGAAAGCTGAGGTTTTATAGCAGGATGAAGAGAATTGCACAATGCAGTTCCATATGGCTTATGAAATGTGTATGAAAACCATTTTCTCCTACCCATCCTAATTATACTATATAAATAGATTCACTATTTTCCTTCAAGAACTTACTTGGCTGGAATATTATTTTTTATTTTAAAGACCAGCATAATCACTTGTATGATGCATTTCTGTAGTCTCTTAACAGATCTCTAAATCAAAATACAATTATTTATAGCAATAACATGACCTTTCACTAATTGGGAAAGAAAATGTTGCACAATAGGTGGCAGTTGTCATGAGTGCTCAGCACTGTCAGAAGTCATTTCAGCATTTGGCTTTAAATTGTAAGTGGAGTAAGAGTTTAAATAATGTGTAACAATTTTTTAAATTATCAGTATGTATGAAGTTTTGTGGGAGCGTGAGTGTGCTTATAGGAGGAGGGTTTGCACTGCCCATGGCCAGGCAGCAGACTGACACCAAAGCACTGTTTTACACCCACTGTACAGTTCTGTCACATAACCTGTTGGCAGAGGACTTCAACAGCTGTCTGAACGCAGACAGCAGCAAAGCCGCTGTTTTAATAGCAGCTGCTAGGAGGGTAAAAATGGGACAGGAGGGCCAGCTGGGTCCAAATTCTTGTGAGCTGCATCTGCTAAGGACTCATATGGACAGGAGGAGGCAACAGAGATGGAGGAAGGGGGATGCCAGAGCAGTAAGGATGAGATGTATGTTGAATATATATCTTTTTATTATTAAACATTGAGACTGCAGTAGTGCTGACGTTTTGGACCTTGTTACACCAGATACCTTAAACACAGTGCACATGGCAGTCTTTGCTCTAGAGAGCAAGGAAAGACATGCTATGAGACACATACACAGCACAAACAGAGCGTGCCTCTGCTTTTTCGGCTTGTCTGTAGCCCAGCAAGACTCTCCCCACCTGGAACCAGTGGGTGACATTCACCAGGGCAGGCTGGGACTAGTGGAAGAACTGACCCTTTGAAGGAGTACATAGGACTACATGTGGCAACGCAGTAAACAACAGCCAGAAACAGAATAAATGAGTCACTTTTCTAGCATATTTGAATACTGTTTAAATATAAACATTGCAAATGAATATCTCTGAGAAAAAATAAAATTGGATGCAAAAATACACCAATGGTATACTGCATATGCATATAAATATAGTACATGGTTTGCACAGTCATTATGCATCTTCCTTCCGGACCAACTTTCTATAGACTGATAGAAAAATTGAAACAGATTAAGAGAAGGGAAAGGTCTTTAGCCAAACACATTATTGTTTTGTTACGTGATTCACTTCCCAAAAAACTGGGCTGTAAATACAAAACATAGTTTCACAACAGACCTATTTCTATTTTCACATCATATCTACCTCACAGCAAGAGGGGAAAGAGCAAGCAAGGAAATGGTGATGCTCAGTAAGTTTTAATGGCATTTGAGAAGAGTTCCACCACCCATTCAAAGCCTATGATGTCAACAGGGTCTGGAAAAGTTCTTTCCTTGATAAGGAGGACTTAAGTAATATCCAAGTGCTTTGCTGGATGCTGGGGCTTAGCCCACATAATCCATTGCAATAGGTAGCTTGTTCCTAACCCTTTGTTAGCAGGGTGCCACCGGATGGGGTCACTGTAGAGGGGCTGGTGGCTGCTGGGGGGTTTGGACTCTCCCACCTCATGGAGGTGAAGGCAGCATCTGCTGCCCCAGCTGGACTGCTGCTGCAAGGCCAGCCAGGGCTCTCTGGGCCCGTTCGGAAGTGCCGATGCCCCATGGCAGGGCTGCTGCATGGGGCAGGACGTGCAGCTGGGGCCACTCCAAGCCCCCGGTCTGGGGGTGCTGCAGCGCAGCAGGACAGCAGGAGTCCTGCCATGGCTGAGCAAAAGCTCCTCCTGACCTGAAACCTGGAGCCTCTCCCATCAGCCTAACGCAGCCACCCTTGCCCAGCTCAGAGAAAGGCAGGTGGAGTGCAAGCATACTCACATAGGACTTTTCCAACAGCTCAAAATTTTGGCTTCAGTTTTTGTTTCCCTTTGTTTCCTTAGAAGATGAAAAGCTACATAGGAGATGCCTGCTCTGTCTGGGCCAGCTGGGGAGTCAGACGTGGCCTTCACAGCACCCTGTGAGGTAGACAGAGGTCAGAGTGTCCAGGCCGAGAACATGGTGGCACCAAGGAGACCTTGGGGTTGTCCATGACTGGTGTGAAGAGCAGCCCTGGTCCTCATGGGCACTGCTTCTCCTGTGGGCACACCCTCCTCTGCATGGAGGACAGTGGTTCCCACAGAGATGCTGAGCACCAGCTTAGGACAGAGTACTTTCCGTAGGAAAAGGCGACAGTGTGTGCTGTGCATCACTCTAGGGGATGTTCTTCATCCCCGGCTTAGCCGACAGTCCAGCACAAGGGGTTACTAAGGCGTGCCTTGGCCTAGGACACATTTATGTTGGAGAAGAGTGAGGCCCCAGGTGGCGTGGATGCTGTGCTGTCTGCCAAGTAGCCCAGGATGCTCTTGAGTTCGCCACGTGACAAATTGGCTTTGATGTAGAGGAATGCTTCCAGGTGCCTTTTGCTGTAGAAGAGAAATGGGAGCTGTTATCTCCTCCTGCAGATCTCCATGTGCTGGGTTCCTTGCACCAGGATGTGGCCCCAACCCCGTGGCAAGCACTGAGGTCCCGAGTGGATGCCAGCTCAGCATCTGGCAGTCCTGCATGGGACCCAGCACTGTCCTGGGAGGTTTGGAGTAGGGTAGGGAATCGCCAAGACAAAGGAGAAAATTAGGCCAGAATTTGCAATATATAAATGGGCTTTTAAAAATAGTTTATTTTGTTGTCCAATGGCACTGGGATTGCGAAAGCCTGGCAGGCAGCCCCCACCCATTGTTATAGACTCAGGCTATAGGAACCTCACCCATACTCAGATTTGACTGTTTCCTGGCTCAGTTAAAATTCCATACAAGTATTTGCAAACCTGTTTCAGCGTCTCTTACCGGATATCTGGGTATGTCGTGGCGAGTGTTGCAACTTCAATTTTAATAGCACCTAAATCCTGAAGTCGGATTATTTCAGCCAGTTTGGGGAGTGCCGAATTCAGCCATGTGGCTTGAGACCCCTGCCAGAAGAGAAAGAGATCAGCAGGGCATTGTGGAGGTGCAAACCTCAACACAGCTCAGGAGCTCTGTTTCATGGTGCGTGCAGCTGAGACAGGTCCTGAAGCTGTTTCCTGGCAAGGGGGAAGGACACAGCAGTGATTTTAGGTGCCTCATTTTCAGTGACATTTCTAGCCTCAGCCAGCCTTGAAGAAATTGGATTAGCTTTGTAGTGGGTTTTAATCCTCTTACACAAGTGTTGCAGGGTTTGCCATAAGGTAGAGGGTTCCATTTCCACCGCGACAGACTCTCTCTGCTCTTCCCTCCCATCGTGTTTTCCTTTCCTTGGGTTTCTATGCTGCCCAGTGTGTGTACAAGGTTTGACAGGCCAGGCAACACACTGCCACATGCTGCTCTCTCCCAGCTCTGCACACAACCCTGCCTTTAGCATCTCCAGGCACTGTCAAAATCTGCTCCCTGCCCTGAATGGACTTGTTTTCTGGCCACGGGATATCCCATGGTGCTGGCTACCTGACCTCCTGCCCATGCCGACTGATGCTCAGGCTTGATCCTTCTCCAGGCAAATGTGCATGGGGTGGAAAAGGACAGGGTTAGGCTTAGCTTTTAGCTTTTTCGTAGTCAAATTTAGAGGCATGGAAGGAGGGAGGTGATCTCAGAGGACAGAGAGGGGTGTTTCAGCCATGCCTCCTGTGGAGGAAACCCTTGTGTACCAGAGACCCTGCACTGCTCGTTCTAGTCCCTGCCTGACCTAAAACCAGCGGAGTTAGGGAAATCAAGGGCGGGGGGAAAGCGTCAAAACCCAGACTCCACACACATTGTACTGAAAGCAGAGCAGTGCTATTTTTAGCTAAATCATCTGACCCTATTAATAAAAATCTTCAAGAAGAAACCACTGACTATGGGACAAAGGAGGATGAAATCATGGCTCTCCATCTGGGGGAGGGGAAGGCCTTCCTGCTGCAGGCACTTGGAGACCTCTTTCTGCCCAATGTCCTGCCTTCCAGGGAGTTGGAAAGGTTAACAAGAGGTCCCAGAAATTTATTTTCCTGTTTTCCAGTGTGCTCATGCCCTGTGCTGCTGTGGATTGCAGCGAGCACTCACGTACATTACTGGTGCAGAAGGCTTCAAGGTCGGCAGCGTTCTTGGAGATGTGTTGGGCCAGGTTTTGCTGTTGTGCTGGGGTTTTCAGGCTGACTTTCCTCTTCAGCAGTCTCACGATGTAGTCTTTAACCAAACGGGTGTGGATCTTCTCTACAATAGCCTGTTGGGAAGGAGAGGGGGGATCATCCATCTATCTTTTGCTTGGGGACAAAACAAACCATGTGTGTGGATGGAGGACAAAAATGTCTTGGGTGCTGTAAGACATGCCACACCAAACACCTGCTGCTGATCACATGTGAGGAATGATGCTGGTTGCCAACCTCCCCATGACTGGTTATGTGACATCCTAGATGCTGAGAATTTCTTTGTACTCAAACTAATGATGTGTGGGAATTTCCAAACATTGTTTCCTTCCGGGAAGAGTTTAAAGTGTAGAAAAGATCCCTATGTGTTAGAGAAGTAACAGTATTCCAGAAAAACAGGAATTCATGCTGTTCCTCCTGTTCCTCTCTCTAATATGCCAAACATTGTAATTTTGTTTCAGCTACTAAAAAGACAAAGGCAGGAAATCAAAGATTTTTTTATATGGTGATGGTTCTTATATACTCCAGCACCACTGAAGATGTGGTTATGGCTCAGTTATCTGGGATTAGACCCAGCTGCATCCATCTCCTCCAGTCCTTAGGGGAATCAAAGGAGCCATGAGACAGAACCATGACATTGCATCTGTGTTTCAAGGCTGCTAAACCAAACCCATACATAAATAAAATGATGTTTTGGGTGGTTCCTAAAGCACTTTCTCTACATCAGGGGTGTTTTTCTCTGTAAACGCCACAGCAGAGCTACAGGAGTCTACTGTTGGAGAAGATTTATATGGCTAGTCTAGGTAAACTGCATGCTCATGGAAATCCTGCCTGAGAGGACTCTGTGATGCCAGGCCAGCTCACCAGCTTAACACAGGTCAAGTCACAGAGGATCAGAGCTGATAATGCAGCTTCGGCATCCCAGAATCCCTTCAATATTTCCCTTAGACTTACATGGTAGAAAGGGTCCTTGAGGGTCTGGAAGTCTGAAATATGTTTGCTGGTGGTTTTAATGATCTCATTCATAATTTCATTGCTGGAGTCCCACTTATTTTCTGTAAATTTCTTATAAATTGGCTGAAAAAAAGGAAAATATGCTTAGTTCTCTCAAAACAGATTCTATTCACACGTATATTTAGCATTTCTATATGTACAGTATCTTACATAGTGACAGCACAGCATGCAGTACTGTGCAGGGATGTGTGATGATGACTTACAGGGGAGGGGAAGAGGGGGCTGTATTTTGTTTGTGTTCCCTTCTTAGTTCCTCATGATGAAGAAGACTGAGGGTTTGAAAGGCTCATATTGGAGATGCTTTTTTTATTTCTACATTTTTAATGTTTTGTCCACACCATCTTGTCTGATTAGAGAATTATAGAACTGTCAGGGAAAAAACCGAATCATTATGAGGTGTTTTCAATCAGTTTTTCTTGGCCACAGTAAAGAAATATGAAAATAAAAAAAAAGCACCTCCGATCTGTCATGCCTTCCAAAGGCCCTACAGAGAAAGCAGGAAAGATTGTGGATGAACATTCCTGACTCCTACGCCTCCCCCTCCACCACACTTGCTTAACTTAAAAAGCTTGTGGTATATTAAAAAAAAAAAAAAAAAAGGAAGAAACCAAAAGTGCCTTTCAGGCCACCTTTACGAGGAAACCAAAAGCTGTGTAATTGCAGTTCATGTCATTTGTGATTGCTTCCTACAGTTTGGAGTGTAAACACTTGCAGGTTGAGACTCTCCCTCCTGCAGCAGTTATCTTAGATGTGATCAGCACATTTTATGTTTGCCTGCACAGTCATGCCTGTGTAGCTGCACCCATTTTACCTGCTGGCTTGAGGACCAGCTCAAGGAGAGGTGAGTCTGAGTTTTCTGGCAGAAGCGTGAGCTAGGACCGATGCTGAGAGGTGACCTGGCTCAGAGCCCTTCTGAATCAGAGATGTGGGCAACTGATAGCACGGCAGGAGAACACGCCCGGCACAGGTTGAGCCATGGGACAGGCAGGTGTGGGGCAGGGATACGGTACCTTCAGCTGGGCAAAGAGCTGTTGAAGCAGCACGTCAAAGCCGCTGTTTTCAATGTCTCCGAGAGTGCTGAGAATACCAGCTTTATTGTCATCCTTTTCTGCCATGTTTTTCTCTGTGTAGTCTCTGCAAGGAAGTATCAGCAAGGTCAGAATAGCCTGTCCTCAAATGAGAAGAGAAACTCAGAGGTCTCCAAACTTTCCTTTGCAGGCAGACAGAGCTTTCTCTCCCCACTCTGGAGTACCTCCCCTCCATCACATTATTATCCTTCAGAGGAAGGAGCAAAATCTTTTATTTTGGACCCTTACCTAAAATTCCAGCAGTTGTTAATATTTGCAATAATTATAGGCTTGTAGTATCTGTGCTTCTTGCCTTTCTCTTTAAAATCTTCAAAAGCATCCCTGTAGCTGGAGGGGAGAAGGGAAGAGGAGAGGCAGGTGAGTGCGTGCCACAGGTGGCTCTGCCAGCCCTGCTGCCCCACACTGCCCTGCCGCACCTTTTCAGGAAGGCGGGCAGCTCCTTCCACAGGCGATGTGACAGCTCCTCGCCCACTGCTGCGCTGATGTCCTTGGCTCGCTTCTGGCCACTGTAGATACTCTAACAAACAAGATCAAGTTTAAATGTCGTCTGCTCCAAAAAGGCCAGGTTCACTGGTTAAAAAGGCCACAGAGCCTTAACTTCCTTAATAGAGCCCAGCTCTCCTGCATCCATCCCTGCAACTGAGCAGGGTAAGGAAGACCTGCTATACTTATTTGGTGAGTTCAAGCCAATTTTGAACTCCATTTTCAAATGGGAAGAGAGATGAAAAAAAAAAGTCTTTAAAATAGCTGATAAAATGGGGAAAGTGACACTTGAGGTTTTTTTGCTTTTTTTCCTGAATGTTGCATTAAAAAAAAAAAAAATTAAGCACAACATCCTCAATACATGAAAGGTTTATTTTTTTAAACATAAACTCTAGTAATCCTCTGCAGCCAGAGGAGGGAGAGTGCTGAGCACGGGGGAAGGGTGTGAGCACTCAGAGCAGCTCTGCCCATGACAGTCTCTCGGGGAGGAAGCAGGGCAGCAGCACCGCGCTGGTTCCTCGCATGGCTAAGCCTGTCTCTTGTCTCTGCTGTTACATTACCCAGCGTCTGATGGCTTGGTGCTGGCTGGGGGTGCAGAACAGACTGCACAGGGGGAAATGAAGGCAGCTTCCCTGATCATTTTGCTTATAGAGGAGTTTATCCCCAGCACGCAGTAGACCAGGACCATGCTAGACCATGGGTTTGGAGTTCCCTGTATGGCCCATCTCTATTACTGCCCTACAAAAGTGACTTGCCTTTTGCTTTCCGGCATTGACCATAGCTGGTCTCAAATCCTAAATATGTGCAGGATGCAATTGTTTATTTTTAATATATATCTTTATTACCTGGATAACAAATATTGCTAGTAGTTCGCTCTGAAAATGCCCATTTAGTTTCTCTGGTTCTTTGTCTTCTTTCCATCTTTGGATTTCTTTATCTAAACATTTGCTCAGTGAATTTTTGATAGTAGCCTTTAGGGAAGGAAGAACAACAGCATTTACCACAAAGTGGATGTAGCATCTTCTGCCTTATGCAGCTTTTACTCTCCCACCCACCATTTGTCTGGCTCAGCAGACTTTTTCCTTGGTCCTGGCTGAGAAATAAAGGCTCTTTGTTACATAGATGCCTTACCCATCACTTCACAGCACCAAGGACAACCCCCTGCCCAATATCCACCAATGCAACAGTGAGTTGAATATTTCAGGGTAGGACTGAAGATCAAGATCTACGTCCCTGCCCGCCTCCCCATCACGTCAGTGGTGATGTGTAAGGCAGGGGAGGGAAGCGTAGGTAGGAAGGTTGCAGGCAGCTATGTGTGCCAGAGCCCAGATTTCCCCAGCCACATGTTGCCTGCTTGTCACGCTCAGTTGCTACCCTCTGGGCCTGGTTTTGCAATCCTTTTTCATGACCACTTCTGACGTCTTATGAGCACTTGAGAGTAAAACAAAATGTTCTCACGTTTTCTCTGCTCTGACCCCTCTTTTGTGCACACTTTGGGGCTTTGGAAATGGTCTGTACAGTGGCTGGGATATATTTCTGATCCCTAAGAGCCTTGTTTGTGTGATTATTCAGCCTTCACACCCACCTCTCCCATATGTAAACCATCACAAGCTACAGCTAAACCTGGAATTTATCTTCTAATTTTCCAGGAATTCCAGCCCAAAATGCCAAAAGCACTAAGCTATGGGAGTACTGTTAAAGTTGCTTTTTGTTTCCATTAAAGCAAGAGTGATCCAAAAACCAGACTAACTGTTATTATCTGCAGACCACGAGATTCTGCATCAAAGAAACAGATTTTTCAAGACCAGACCTTCATGGTTTGTGCTCACCTGGCACCGCTTTAGAGACCAGAAGTAATTCTGAATCCATCATCTGGGAGAGGGAGCTTAAATCCCTCTGGGGATTTAGCAGATAACTGGAAAGTTACCCATAAAGATTTGTTGTTGGATTGTTCCCCACCTTCCTACCACACGGTTTGCAAGAACAGAGCAGTTCTTTTTTATGGCTCCCAGGGCTAAGCAGAAGTTTGCTCTGCAAGTCCCATCTAGCAGAAAAACGACCTGTCCCACAAAAAGAAACAAAAGCATTCTTGCTTTTGCTTCTCTCTGAAAGGGTATGTGGCTCACAGGTGAGAAGTGCATGTGCAGGACAAGTCAGAGCATCTCCGAGGAGTCATATGGGATCAGTAAAGGAAAGAGGAGGGACTGGACAGATTCTCACCTCTTCACTGTCGAGGTATTTGTTTTCAAGGTCATTGCTCAGACTTGATGGCAAAAGGCTTCCAAGCTTAACTTTTTCCAACTCCTCAGCTAAAACATGATCTTTTCTCATATCTCTGGAATGAAAAAACCAAACAATCACATTTTCCAAGAACAGTGTAATTCAAGACAGCTGTTGATGCAAGTCACTAACACTTTTTGAGGCTATCAGTGAAAAAACAGATGGTAATGATACATTGTCCTTAGTCCAGGCAGGATTCGTAGGAGCTGAGTGTGTGCCAGGAGTGGGACTGGTGAAGATGGGCGTCCAAGCAACCCGGGGCAATGCAGTCATGTTCTGCCAAGCTCCTGAGCACCAGCCACTGTGCTCTGGTGGGGATAGGGGACCTGAAGCAAGCAGGAGGGTCTCGCCCCAGGACACGACCACTCTCCATAAATATAGAGGGGTGATCAAATGAAAACCTGGCATTTTGCAGCTTGATGGGACTGGAGCGGGCAGTTTCATAGCCGCTGTCATGTCCCCACCACATGCTGGCTGAGCCGGGTGCCCCTGAGCAGCTTCAAGTGAAGAGACCTGCCAGCCATGGGGGGCTCTGGCCAGTACTTGTTAGGGGGCTGATATGGAAGCAGCCTCTCCTTCTGGAGCTGCAAAGAATAACCCCATACATCTCCTGAGTCCCATGTTTGCACATCACCCAGATCTGCATGGGTACACTGACGTGCTTCCCACACATGGGCTGTTTCTGATATGACACTGGAAGATGGAGCCAGGCTGCTGTACAACCTTCCTCCTCCTCCTCACTGTTCTGTTTGCTGCTGACTGTGGAGAGAGGTGGTCCCTCAGCAGAGACCTGGATGTGGCCTCTGGGAACACCTAGCAAAACTGCCCTGGCTAACACCATCCCCAGCTCAGGGCTGTGCTGCCCGGCTGAGCCCTGCTCCTCACAGCTACTGATTTCCAAACACATGCTGGTTCTGGCCTGAATATCCTGACCTAGAGCACAGCACTGGCTCTGGAAAACTTCTAGATCAACACTGACTCATTATACTCCATCAGTGAAACACAAGAAGGAAAAAGTGGAGGTGAAGGTTGAATGGCTTTAGAACAGAAGAAGAAACATTGCTGGTGTATTTACTGGTTTTCACCTAAGAAATGAGAGCCCTCAATTCTCCATCCAGGACTATAAGCCACAACAAGGAGTATTTTCAGTTCTATAACATAGAGGGCTTGTGAGGATGAGGGGCGACTCTTGGCTGATGATGTCCTCTCACAGGGGTGCACCCTTTGGCTTCCTAAGCAGGAGGAGAGCACAGACTGGGGGTAACACCAAAGCAACATCCTCCATGTCCAGCATAATTGCATCTTACGTTGTTCTATTTATTGGCTGGCCTCTAGTCCAGTGGGCTGAAATTTCCAATTTTTCCATGCATGAGTTCAGGTCTGCAACTGGAATAGAGATCAGGGCAATGAACTCGCCCGATTTACCCCACAAGTGAAGCCCTAAACATCTGTGTGTATGTCTGTTGCCCAGAAGCCTGAATGGTGGGGTCAGCCCTTGGTTTACAGACTAGAGGCCTTGAGTGTGTCCCTTCTGGCTGTCCTGGCCAGCCAGTGTACATCAGCACAACACCAGTGACACCAAAACCTAGCCAGGTGCCAGACTTCATCACATGCCGATACATAAATCGAGCAAATGCCTGGTTTTGCATCCAGTGAACCTGTGCTGATCACCAGGGATAAAAAAGCCTCACTTACTTTGGATAAATGTTGTGCACCCATGAGAGGAGAAGGTAAATATCTTTGTCTTCCAGATGAGACTCAGCGTTTTTCTTTGCCTGGGAGGCAAAATAATTGTGGTAGAGTTCGGCATATGTGCTGAACACGTTAAACTCAGGAGGATAAAGCTGTTTAATGTACTTTACAACTACTGTCAAATCTTCTTTCATTGTCTTTCCCATGTGCAGAAGGTTCTGGCCAACTGTAGAGAGGTTCTCAGTTCTAGCAGTATGGCTTGTGTCTTTCATTCGAGTCTCTACTGACTCCTTTACTGTAGCCATCCAAAGCTCTTTCCATTTTCTAGGTCTAAAGTGTATGTTTTGGTCAGGTGGATTCTCTGATGTGTAGTTCTGATCTTCTTTCTCCTGCTCTTTCAGTGCCTCCACTGCCTGCTGGAGCAGTTCTGGGTTTGTTTTTGCTAGCAGCATGGAGTCTTTCAAGATGGTGAAGACTTTGTGCTTCAGAACTTCATAAACAGACTCGATGTCTTGGTGGCTGGTGTTCATTCCCTCCTCACATTTGCTAGACAGGCTCTTCTCCAGGACAATCAGCTGCTGAGTGGCATCACAAAGCTTTTGCTCTTCAAGGAGTTCCATGACTTGTTTGACTGGAAAAAAAGAACAGCCTTTCTTTACCCAATACCAAAGATTTAATTTTCTGTTTTATAAAAAATGGTGGCTCTGGAATACTTTTCTAAAAAAATTTTTATATTTCGATAATGCTAGATCTTAGGGTCCTTCACCTTATAAAAATCTGTTTATTTAAAGATCAGATTATTTCTAGCTTGCCTCTAACTGGGGCAATGGAAATTTGAATACCCATCACCAGTGTGTTACATATGGACAGATAATCATGAGCTACCTATAATTTTTTTCCAAAATTTAGATTTGTGGAGTTTTATTTATTTATTTATTGACTGATTTATTAATTATCCCTCTTCCCTTTAATATGACCTCAAGTCAGAAGCGTGGCTTTAGAAAAGCTGTAGATGGAAAGATGCAGCTAAATAAGGTGTGCTGGAGGAAATACCATATGGGTTTTCCAGAAATAGTTGGCACAATCTGACCTGTGAAATTTTTTTGGAGGACACATTTAGCAAGCAAGATAAATACAATTGAACTACCTTATGTGAACTACAGCCAGTTACTTGATACAGTACAATCTGGGAAATTATTAGTTAAACTGGAGAAGTTATATCCCCAAATAAGTTTTGTTAGGTATGTAAGGTTTGTATGGAAAATCCTGGATGGAGAAAGCTTACATTATTCATGAAACTCATCTTACTTCACATTCTCCTTAGAAACTGCTGCACAAAAGGTGGGAGTGCCCTATTGGCATCTGCTGATTATGCAAAATTCAGAAACATTATCGAAACTGAGGGCTTGGTCTATTATGCAAGAACAACGGGATAACTTGAATAGTAAATGGGCTGAAATTTAATAGCACAAAGTGTAAGATACAAATTCAATAGAACAAAAGTTACTTAGCAACAAATAGGATTTTCTGCTGCAAGCTAGATGTGAATCAGCTTGAGATGGAGGAGCAAGAGAGATGCCTGTAGAACTGGTAAATCACTACTGTGAGATGATGGTGAAAGTCTCAGATATGATGGTGAAAATCTCAGATATGACCCTAGGATGTATCCAGTGGGGAATGTCCAGCTGAGATAGGAAAATGGTAACATATTGTATTAGGCATTGGTGGTATCTCACCTGGAATATTTTCTGCAATTCTGGTTGCTTTATTTCGAAACAAGACATTGGGAATGGGGCAATGCAGCAGTAAGAACAAAGGCACGCAGGGCCTGCTTTCAGTAGACTAGGTTTGTTTAGCTGAGCAAATTCAAGGCCGAGAAGGAAAACCACCAGTTAGGGAAAACATTTGACATATCGAGGAGATACGAATTAGACAGGTAAAAGCTTGCCTGGAAATCAGATAATTTGTACTAAAACAGTGAGACTTTGAAAAGCATCCCAGTAAAGGAGGTAGGACTAACAAATTAACTTACTTTAAGGTGTAGCTTGCTAAGTTTATGAACCAGGTAATGAGATATATCACCTGAAGTGGCAGGTGAGCCTTGGAAGTGCCAAGAGACACTTTCCAGTTCTGGGTTTCTCTAAGCAGGTATTTTTCTACTTCTCTAAGCACCCTGCCTGTGACTGGAGGAGCTGTATGTCCATATATCAGCCCCGGCAAAGACCTATGCATGCTGCTCACTCCTGTCCCTGGGAGAAGGGGAGATTTCACAGGGTGGTGTTTTTGTGGAGGAACAGAGCAGAGGCATGCCTTGGTTTCTTTCTTACCCACAGATCCCTGTGCCCCCATGAGAGGTAGAAATGTTTCATTTTGGACAGAAAACCTGCAAAATGATAGTTCTTCAAGAAGTGTGCCCTTGGTACATGAGCGACATGAGGTGGACATGTCTCTCTCAGCCCGTGTTTCCCCAGGCTCCTTGGCCAAGTCACTTAGATCTGTCGGTGCCCTTGTTTCCCAAGGGGTCAATTCTCCACCTTCTGCAGCCCCTCTGGAGGTAACTACGGCCTATGAGGTGGTGCAAGGAGAATGGAGGAGCACTTACCACTTGGTGGCTTGATCTTTTTAATTTTCTTCAGTGCACTTGTAAGGATTCCCTTTATTCCTTTCTTCCCCTTTTCAGGGCTGTCCCCAGCAGAGGTGCAGCTCCCATTGCTCGTGATGGAAGATGCACGTGAGGGTCTACAGGCTGCCTCTGGCCTTTCACTCATCTTTTCCTGGTCCCTGGACCAGATCTCATCTCCAGAAGGTTCAGGACAGGCAGGAACTTGCTCAGGCACTGATGTTGAACGGTTTTCAAGCTGCCTGTTTACACCAATGCAACTCTCTGATCCATTGCGTATTCCAATAGGACCACTTTGGAAAAAAGGTAACATTTTCATCATTTTCCTTCTAGCCTGTAAATTTCAGAAAGAATCGGTCAGATTATAACAGTTTGCATAAAAACTACCATGAAACAATGTGACAAGGTGTATTCCTATTAAAAAACACGTAATTCTGGAATGAGTTGTCCCTGTGTGGGTGGCGTGGGGAGTGCTACACACATCTGGTATGAGCACAGCTCTGCAGGAGAGCTCCTGAGCAACGTCACCTCAGGTAACTGAACGGATGGAAGCAGCTCTCTGGTCTAGTAACTAACTTAGAGAAAATAGATGAGTGATGTTAAGGGTGATTCAGATGGCCTGATCTGAGACCTCAATCTTGTCTGGATACAGGAGAGCAGGGCTCTCCCATGGGATGCTGTGGGAGTACGGATGTGAGCATGGATGCTGCACATGAATGATGTGAGTGGGTGGGACTGTGCTTATTCAAAGCAACCACAAAACTCCCATACTTTTATACATCATCGGGATTAATTCCCACCCTCCTCAGGGCCTGTTTTTGCTGATCTCTGCTCATCTGGCTGTAGATTTGCTTGTGGAAGCACTCATGTAGCTTGCTGCACACTGAGTTTGCAAATACACCATGAAAATGAGAGGAGCCTACCAAGGCAGGCACATGTCAGTCTTTGCTGAGCCAAAGTCGTGCTGGTTTAACTGTGTCCCCATTTAAGTCAGTAATTATTTCTTAGCTTTATTGAGGAGAGCTCCCAGAGAAGGTGGCTGAGAGTTCAGAAATGTTGGAGATGTGAAAAACATGGTTGAAAGGATGGGAAGCACAGCAGTATCTCCTGATACGAGCATCACAAGGCTTATCACTTTAGGCCCAAAAAATCCCCAGTCAGAAGGATGGTTTCAATGCTCTACATGCTGCCTGCATCCCTACAGTGGCAGACACAAGACACAAGGGATGCATTCAGACCCTTCAAACCCACTCACAGTCTATGCAATCTCTTTTCCAAAACAGTCCCAGTGTGACTACGGCATCCCAAAGACAAGGCAACTTCAGCGCAGCTTGTTGCAACTTCAGTGTGACTTGTTGGGTGTTTTCAAATACCTGGGAGCAATTCCTGTCCCATTCATTTATGTTGAAATGTGGGGCTGTAGTGTGGGCCGTGGCTTGTGCAGAAAGGTATGCTAGTGAAATGGGGTGGTGGAGGGGGAAGGTTCTGATAAGCAGGGAATAACCAGACTGGATTATTCCCAAAGCTGCTACATGAAACTAGTGCTAGTGGCCAGGGCTGCTGCATGTCCAAGGCAGTCCTTGCCTGACTGAGAGAGAAACAGGAACAGGAAAGGATCAGGGTGGTTTGGTCTTGTTTAAACAGTCATTATCCTGCCGAAGTCCTGCTCTACCATCAACACACCTGTGCTACAAATGATTAATGATAGAAATTTGTTATTGTAACATTTTTTTTAGAATTCATATTTAGAATTATGTATGTGCATGTATAATTTAATATACTGCCATATATTTATTTGCATAAGTATATTCATTTATATGATTATAATAATATAATTACTGTAAACAAATAAAGTGACTTCATAGTTTCTAAGCCTTGTTCTAACAACAGATTTTTTTAAGTGACTTTCTGGGAAACTTCTGTATTGAAGAACTCTCAGGCAAGTTTTTGCTTAAGGGTAGAGGAATTAGGCTTTAAATAAAGGAAGAATTTGGCTTCGGTTATAAGGCCACAATGCGGTGATCTTCAAATACCTCGCTAAGTTTATACGGTTGATACGCATCATGCTGATACAAGGCATGATACTTATTTCTGGGAAAACTGGTAGGAACATTGTGGCTTTTTATTTGAATTGTGATTCCTTCTGCTGGCTCCTGCCAGCTTGGAGAGCTTTGAAGCATCAAGTTAGCGGTAGCAGCCAGGTGGTACAGAGAGCAGCTAGAGCCTGGCATCGCTGAAAGCTTTCCCACTCCGTGCTTTGGCTGCCAGGTCACGTTCAAGATTAGTAACACTATTACTTTTAAAACACAATGAAGATGAAAACTCATTTGGGAAGGAGAGAAAGGGGGGTGTGTGTGTGCATGATCTGGCTGGATCTCAGCTAAACTGGTGGTCTGTGACCCAGGGCAAGGTGCAAAGCTAAACCTAAGGTGCTGCCAGAGGCGTTGGGTCGCTGCTCAGCAGAGCCCTTGTGCCCCGGGGCTGCGGGTCTGGTCTTGTGGGTGAGCAAAGTGGGCCCAGCACCAGAGCTGCCCAGAGACAGCAGTCATGGCAGAAGCTACAAACCTACTTCTTCCCCCAGCACATTTACTGGGGGGGAAGGGAGGGAGGGAGAGAGGCAGGGAGGCAGGCAAAACCACCATGGTTCACCCTGGCTGTTCTAGTCAGGATGCCCCAGTAGAATCCTAAAACCAGTGGAAAAGACCTCCTTTTTGTTACCTTTCCATTACAAAAATATATCATGGTAACAGGGATTCTCTATAAGTCTTTGGGACGTTCTTAATTTTTGTAGGGCTATTTTCCTAGCCTGCATTTCCCAATATGACGCTGTGTTTAGATTCCTTCTGCCAAATCCCTTCCTGTTTGTTCAAAGACTCAGCCAAATCCTTTCTCTCTTTCCTATTACTCCAAACAGAGCATTTATTGTTCTTTTTTTTTTGCTGTTTCTAAGCAAAGAAAGTACTTCTCCCTTTCTTAAAGCCAAAGGTGATTTCAGAGTTTTTTGTTTTGATGAATGATGATCAGAAAAGTGTATTTCAAAATGGTTTTGCTTCTTCTTCAGTACTAAGATGAACATCACATATCTTTGAAAACCATTGCAATGACACTACATATAAAAGAGTCCATAAGGGAATGATTAAACTGATTAAAAGTGTAGTTTTTAGCGTCTGGCAGAACTTTGTCCTGGTAATGCTCTGAAAGAGCGAGGCGCAGGGTCTGGCAATGCCCAGGAGTGAAGAGGTAGCTGGGAATGTGCTACTGGGGGCTGCAGCCTGAGTGGGCCCCTGTGGTCCCTCTGCAGTACCAAGCTATTTTCTGCCATGCGTTCCTATGCCCTGCCATGCCTAAAAAAATGCCACAGCCAAATAAGAAGAAAGATAAAATCAGTTCCCAGCGTTTTTGCCCAGCAGCGTGAGAACTGTTGGCAATAGTGGCATGTCAGGGTGTGCTTTTTCATTTTGAACTAATAAACACCAAAGGAGTTAAGCATCTGAGTAAGGCTTTTGATGGTCACTCACATCTGGCCAGCTTGAATGTTCGCCCAACATTTATCAGTTTGCCGCTGCTGGTTTGCCTATGTTTGTATCTGCAGCAGGAAATACCAGTCAACCTCAGCTCCCAGTCCTGCCTTGAAATGCAGCCTCAGTCACTTGTGGCAACTGGTATGAAAAATTCCCCCTCCATCTTTTCTTTTTATCATTAAATGGGCAACCACGTACTGTAAGAAACATCTATAAGAAACTTTCTTATAGAAAAAGCGCACCACTTTCTACAGGAAACACTCAGCTCGGAGGAGGTGGCACCGGTTACGGCTGGAGGCGCTGGGCAGGAGGCCTGTGCCAGCACTGCTCCTTGTGCCCCCCAGCACCAGCTCCTGCCCCTGCGGCAGACAGGACACGCCAGGAGCTTGGCTGTGGCTTGGATGGCCACAGCTGCTCCTGTACGCCTGTGTTGTGCTCACAAACCAAAGCTTGTTAAAAATCCAGCAGGGTCCTAATTATGTTAGCAGTTAACACTTTGGGAAATGCTGAATCATTTCCCAGGCACAGAGCTCAAATTCAAATCTTAGGAAGTTTCATGATTTAAGGTCAAGACTTGACATAGATCCCAACTCACTATTATTACTAATTTACTGTTAATTTACTGTTATTATCATCATCATCATCATCATCATTATGTGGCACTATAGTTTGTGCCAGAGGAGTCTTTAGCTCCAATTATTTTTGACATAGTATATTCAGCTTACGGTTTCCAACCAGAGGAGCAGCACAGCTCACATATTATCCTCTGCTACCCTACACAGAGGCCCTGTGCCATGAGGACAGCAGTGCTGCTGACCCCCAGCGTGGCTGGAGTGGGACCAAGTGAGCTATCCGCATGGGGCTGATCACGGTGTGTACCCCTGGGCTGGAGCTTGTCTGAGGTGGACAACAAGGGTGAGGGAAACACCTGGAGCAGAGCCATGACACAGGACACAACTTAGACTGTGGGCACAGTGGGCTTCCTGTTTCCTCCTTCCTCAAAGGAACAGCTTTTATACTGCATGCTTAGAAATGAGCTCATTCATGAAGGGTGGCTCGTGGTGTGCCAGAGAGCACTCAGGGAAAGAGATTTACAAGTTACCTCTATTCTGAAATTTTTTGCTGATCTTGACTTCTTTTTCCTGAGCTGCTGCCAGTATTAAAAAGCATTTGTTTGGATTTTTAGTCCTCTCCAGCCTGCTGACATCCTAGATCACAAAGGGTTATGTCTCGTTTTAGTGGAAATCCCCTGCTCTCACACAGCCTCTCAGAGATCCAGAGTTATTTAGCTACGTTTGTTCTCTGCATTTGCATCAGCCTTTTCTCTCCCCACCTGCTCCCTGTGGAAGTGGGGTCTCCACTGCCCACACAAGAAAAATGCACTGGGTCAAACCATCTTGTGAAGCCGTAAAGCAGTACAGCCAGTCAGAGTTTAGTGTACCTTGGACTGTGCAGTGACAGCTGAATAAGTGCTAATAAATCAAAGCAAAGAGTCTAGGGAGACGCTAGCCTCAATCTTTGCAAGTTGGGAAGCCCTCCTAGGAAGTGGGGGGTTTTCCTACCAATTTTTGTTAGTTGGATTGGGTACTGAATGGAGACACCATGAAGCTGGGGGCACCCACTTGGCTCTGCCAGGGAAATCACAGTTCATAGATGAGCTGAGCCACCAACAGCCCCATCCTGAAATGTTACTGTGCTGCTCAAACCCATGCTGCTGTCCATGGAGCCCTACAGGCCACCCACCACCCCATGTGGTCCAGCACCACCCTCATGGTGGCCAAGCTCCGCTCCTAATGGGACCAAAAACTGAGGGGAAACAAAACCCATTTCTCCAGTAGAAAAGTCAATGCAGGAGCAGAGCCTCCCCAGGGGACTCAATCCATGTGTCTCAGCAGTGCCAGACATCTCCATAGAGCTGGGGGTGATGGGGGACACAAGGGACCCATGGGAATGGTGGTGACAGACCAGGCAGAGGATCCCAGGGCATCTCACCTGGTGTAAGATGCTTTAAAACAGCATTAAACCATGTTATCACCTGTCTGGGGAACATCGCAGATCCCACTTGAATAGCCTACACAGTGCCTCAGTCATTTTTTAAATGAGAATTTGGTTTCCCTAAATTGCAGAAGCACAACTGAAAATAATCTTGTAAATCAGCATCTCCTGTTGTTAGTGAGAATTTTTCAAACAGCAAAAGAGAAAATTACACGTATGTATTGTTATTGGGAAAAAGCAGAGAAAACACAGTGTAATACGCTCCTTTATCTTCTTGCTTCAAATCTGGGAAGTATCATTTTGAACTGCTGCTGCCAAGAGAGAAACCAGCTGCTGCTGTCTAGGATTTTGTTTTCGTATTACTATTCCCAAAGCCAAATCCTGCATTCAGGCCTGGAGTTTGCAAAGTTCACTACTAGAGCTAACAGTGACTGAGAAGATAGACAAATTCCCCAGGCACCAGACTTACTGCTCCTGGAGTCCTTGCCTCTGCCGGCACTTTCAGACTCTGGCTTTCCAGGCCTCTTTTTACAGAGAGGGTGACTGAAACAAACCCAAACCTGAGTTTTCCAAAGCTCTCTGCTCCCGTTCGATGGGCTCTGTTGGAACTGGCAAGCCTCAAAGCCCCTTGGCAGGGGCAGGCAGTTGAACGCTTTGAAGAATGACTGTTTCTTCAGGTTTTCTGCTCTGAACTTGGGTGTGATGGCGAGGGACCATGGCTGCTAGATGCCATATGACTAAAGTCATATGCTCCAGTCACAAAAAGTCAGTTCCTTACTTTGTAGCAGCCTCAAGAAGAAATCCTACTTTAAACACCCCAAGGATCCTAACCCTGATGTTGAACCCTTCAATCTGTGCCTGAGGAGCTGACACAGTGGGTGTGGGACAGCTGCCCAAGGATAGGAGGGAATTTCATCAGGCTCTTCAGTGCTCCAGGAGAGGGCAGGTCCTAGGGGTGGTGAGACTAACCTGACTAGGAAAAAATACAGTCACAGAATGGTGAGCATGGCAGTGCAGAATCAGCTCAGAGCAGTGACCCATGCAGGGCACAGGGCACAGGGGCTGCCTGGGGCCGTACAGGATTTAGGCACTGAAATTGTGTTTTGCCAGTGCAGCTGAGCTGAATGAATCCCAATCCAATTATTTTCCTGTGATCTTGGAAAAACCCACTTCCAAACAAAGAGGAGGGGGTGGGAAGTGCCACGCTGAGTCTGGCTCTCGGTGCCTGATCTGGGTTGAGGATGCTTCGGTGCCCGAGACCTACGTCTGCATTTTGGGAAGGGGTTGGGGGAGTGGGTAGCAGGAGTCACCGCTCGCAGCCTGAGTTCATGCCCTGAAATTCGGGGGGTGAGCAACAGAAATCAGACCCAGCTGTCGCAAAGCAATTGCCGGACACATACTCTTGCGGTCCCCAGCCTTGGGATGCGTCTGGAGCTGCTGTCCTTCTCGCAGCAGGTCGATTTATTCTCTACTCCGGTAACTACAAGGTGGGGCTGAAATCTGTTGCACAGTTCTGGAATCCATCCTTTACACCTTCCGCCGATCCCCCCCGCCCCCCTCCCAGACACGACGGGGAGCCTCGGCTCTCGCTAGCCGGGAGGGAGGCAGAGGCGCGGGGGAAGCGGGAGGGACACCGGCCCTACGGGGAAGGGGGGAGCCCCGAGCCCCGCAGGACGGACAGGCGGCACGAAGGACTTACTCTGCTGCGGCTCCGGGGCGGGCGGCGGCGGCGGCGCTGGCTGGGGAGCCCCGGGGCAGCCCGGCTATAAGGGGAGGGCGCGGAGGCGGGGACCCGGCGCGCAGGGAGCCCGGTGGCTGGAAACTCCGGCTGCGCCTCCCCTCCAAAAATGGGCTCAAGCCAAAGGGAAGCGAGAAATCCCCTCCGACGGGGAAGAAGTCCCGGCGCAGGGGGGTGGCTGCTGTCCCGGTGGTGGTGGCGGCGGCTGCCCCGGGCTGGTCCCCGGGGGGGAGCTGAGCCCCGGCTGAGGGACCGGGGGTTGGGGCATGGGGGCACCCTGGCCTCACTGCCTCCAGGGTTTGTATGGGATGTGTCCCATTGCGGGCTTGGAAACCCCCGCTAAGGGATGGAGCAGGCACCTCCCAAAGCTCTGCTCCCTGAGCAGGGCATCGGCACGGGCAGCTGGCAGGGATGAGGTGCGAGCCTGAAAGCACAGCCTGCCGTATTGGGGTTCAGCATCGTGCCAGGGGTGACGTGCCTTCCCCAGAGCAGGGCTCGTGGTGCTCCCAGGAGACACTAAGATCATCAAGCATCTTGAGTGTAGTGTGGTGGGTCCCTGCCTAAGGTGTGGGAGGCACAGGCTTCCCTCCTCACCCCAAAGCCTCTGAACCTGCTTCTTCCACTTCCAGAAGGGACATTTGTCTTCTAGATTTCTGTCCCTGATTTGCACCTGCACCACTGGCTATGGTGGCGTGGTGAGCCCGTTACACTGGGGAAGCGTGTGTACTGCCATGGCAGGGGATGGCTGGAGGACAGCCAGGGGATGCCTGGGTGACAGCAATGACTGTGGGGGGCCATTGCAGAAGGTCTGTTCAAGGGCTGTGCCATCCCTTGCTTAGATAGCCTTAATGTGGAGCATCTTCTGCATCCACCTGGGTGAGATCTGGGCCAAAGCATCTGCCCTACAGGCAGAAAATAAAAATATTGTGCTCCTGAAGGACCTACCTCTTCTCTCACTCCTGAGAAGCTGATGTGGGGCAGGGAGTGGGGCCCACAGCAGGTCCCAGAGCCTGGGATGATTTCTGCTTTATGTCAGATAGCTGTAGTCTAATGCAAAATAAAAAAAAAATGGTCCAGACACTTAAAGCTGAGTGTGAACTGTGAGCTTTCGTGGTGCTGCTGATGCCCACATTCAGTGCCTGTGTGGCTGTACAACTTCTTGGGGGGCTATGCAGGCCCAACATGGGGACATTCCCCAGCAGCAGACGTGGCCTGGGGCCAGTGTTTGTGCTGGAAGGTGACCGGCTGAGTGGGCACGGTTCGGTAGAGTAGATGTGTCTCCTGGTCTGTGCCTTTTGGCAGCCAAGCTGCTTGCTGGGGCTGCTGCTTTCCTCTCTGGGACACTTTCCTGAAAAAGACCATGGTGGCAGGGAAAAAACCATCCCCCCTCAACAATGTCTGCCAAAACAGGAAGCAGAAGCAGAGGGGCCGCCTCGATGGGCAAGCCCATGTTCTCCGGTCTCTGGAAAACACTGACTGATCTCTGGCAGCGTGCAACTGAGCTGGGCGGAGGGTTCCCCTCTGGGATTGCCTCAGGGTTGGGTCCCCTCGCTATTTGACAATTGGTGGTCAGAAACAACCATTGTCATGGGACAGAAAAGCCCGGTGCCAGGTCAGCCTAGAAATCACTGGAAACATGAAACAGTGCAAGATTTGGCACTGAAGTGCAGTAACTCTCTCTGTGCTTCCTCACCTCCTCCAATGGCAATGAGAAGGGGAGAGGCAAGGTTTGCCATCTGCCATTACAGCCAGTTTTGGGGCAGCTCGGTGCAGCTGGAGGTGAGCTTGATGCTGTATCCAATGACCCTTTCATGCAAGAGGTAAAAGGACGTGGTTCCTGAGAGGCACCAGGGAGCCTGGTGTAGCCTGCAGTTACACACACACAGCTCTGGGTATGGCTGGGCAGGCAGTATTCATGGCTGTCTGAAAACAGAGGATGTTGTTCTGAATTCAGAGAGGACCCTGGGGCTGGTTACAGCCTCAGTTACATGATCTCTGCAGGACACAGGGGTGTCTGTCCCCACACATGCTGTGAATTTGCAGTGGGAAGGGGCTCAGTGGCACATGTCTCAGGCCCACAGAAACCTCTCTTTAAATATTCAGGTGGTCTTTTGCATTTGGCTCAGCAGCAGTACTACTGTTTTATGAGACCAGTGTCTCATCCCAGCTTAACACAGGAGGCCCTGACTGTAGGGGACTCCTGCAGCAAGCAATGTGGGAAGGCCCAAGGAAGGCTGATGCTCAGCTGGTGTTAGCAAATGTAGCTGCAAATCTGTGGGCATCCTTGGCTCTTTTCTTGGATAAACGTCTATACAGAATGGTTTATGTGGGATCCAAAGTAGATTCACATAGTGGGGTCTGTTCCTGGGCCTCATCTTTAGCTACTGTAAGTAAGTTCAGTGGGGCAGGGCAATTCTGTCAGCAGACAGGGGAACAAGAAACATCTTGTAATTGGGTCTTAAATTAAAAGCCTAGAGCTTAGGTGTCATTATTTGGGTGCCCTTATTTACCCAAAACAAACCTAACACTGCACTTTGACCTCCTGCTGATACACCAGCACAACATTGCTTGTCTGTGTAGCCTGATTTCTGAGACAGACATCTTGTATTTACCTACATAATATCGGGCAGTGGCTAACCAAGTTATACCGGGCTGCACATCTTCTAGTGCTACACAGGAATTCTTCTATGCTCTGTAACTACTCAGTGTATTGCACAGGGCTACACTAGTATTCTGTGTTTATAGTTTATGCTATCTAAGAAGCTATCTTAAGTCTGTAATTTTTCCTGCATGACATGCTTGTCTCTAAATTGGAGAGACTTGGATTTGATGGGTGGCCCACTCACTGTGTAGGGAATTAGTGGATAAAAGAGTTGTGGTCAATGGCTCAATGTCCAAGTGAAGAGCAGTGATGAGTGGCATTCCTCAGGGGTCAGTCTTGGGACCAGCACTATTTAACATCTTTCAGTGACATGGACAGAGGGATCAAGGCACTCTCAGCAAGTTTGCCGATGACACCAAGCTGTGTGGTGCTGTCAACACGCTGGAGGGAAGGGATGTGCTGTCCAGAGGGACCTGGACAGGCCCGGAGAGGTGGATCTGTGTGAACCTCATGAAGTTCACAAGGCCAAGTGCAAGGGTCGGGGCAATCCCAAGCACAAATACAGGCTGGTGATGAGGGGATTGAGAGCAGCCTTGTGGAAAAGGACCTGGGAATAGTAGCGGATGGAAAACTGATTATGAGCCAGCAGTGTGCACTCACAGCCCAAAAAGCCAACTGTATCCAGGGCTGCATCAAAATAAATGTGGCCAGCAGATCGAGGTGATTTTCCCCCTCTACTCCACCCTCATGAGACCCCACCTGGAGTACTGTGTCCAGCTCTGGGGCCCCCAACACAAGGACATGGACTTGTCGGAATGAGTCCAGAGGAGGCCAGGAAGATGATCAGGGGCTGAAGCACCTCCCTTACCTATGAGGACAGGCCGAGAGAATTGGGGTTGCTCAGCTGGGAGAAGGGAAGGCTCTGGGGAGACCTTGTAGTGGCCTCCCAGTACTTAAAGGGGACCTACAGGAAAGGTGGGGAGGGACTCTTTATGAGAGAGTGTAGTGATAGGATGAGGGGTAATGGTTTTAAACTGAAAGAAGGTAGATTTAGATTAGAGGTAAGGAAGAAATTCTTCCCTGTGAGGGTGGTGAGGCCCTGGCACAGGCTGCCCAGAGAAGCTGTGGCTGCCCCCTCCCTGGCAGTGTTCAAGGCCAGGCTGGACGGGGCTTTGGGCAACCTGGGCTAGTGGAAGGTGTCCCTGCCCATGGCAGGGGGGGTTGGAGCTAGATGGTCTTTAAGGTGCCTTTCAACTCAAACCATTGTAGGATTTTATGGTTCCATAATTTTGAGAAATCTGGGATTTTATGCTTAACTTCCATAATATATATGAAACATTTCTCAGCTGCAACGCACACCTAAAAACAAGATGTTCTTCAGGTAACTTAATTTTTCAGATGCTTCCTTAAATTTGAACAGCAAACTTGCATGGGATTGTTCACCTCTTCTGTATTGATCATCAGAGACTTTTTCACTAGCAGTCTTGATATTGAAATTTAGCTGGGCAGAAACATACAAAAGCAACAGTTCTCTACTAAAAAAAAAAAAAAAAGTTGTGAATCCTTTCCACTAGACAATGAAATATTTGTCTTTTCTGTAAAAATGAAGATACTATAAACAAGAGGTGTTTATAAGGAGATTTTTGAAGTGAAGTTTTATTTTCCTCTTTCACAATGCTGAAGTTCTGTTACCCTTCATTGCCAGCTAAAGGTGTGTCAAGAAGCAGATTGTTATGAGGGTAAAGGTTTTCTTCCTGGAATCCATTAATTCAATATGTTTATTCATTGAATGGTATTTGAAATTTTCATTCAAGCTTGTTTTAATCAGCTTTATTACCAGACAGGAGAACTATTAGTTTTCCTGTGGGATTTTCCATGAGCTTAACTCATTTGTCCTAAGCAATTTCAGCTGTGCATGTTTCAGTGATAGAAAAGCAGCAGGTCTGGTTCAGGTGGCTGCCAGCAGCTCTTTGGGTGAGTAAATGCCATTGTTATCTTCTGTGGGGGATTTGGGAACTGTCTCCTGGAGCTGGTGGCACACAGAAACTCAAGTACAGATGCCTGAAGTAGAGTTTGAGAGAATCAGAAAATGCTCTCAGTGTGAGGTTGGGCTGGAAAACCAGGGACAGGTAATGTCTAGTAGCTGTTCCATGTGGGGTGAGGTGTGCAGCAGCTTGGGAGGGGGGATGGAGAAGGATGCCACTGTGGTGGCTGATCACCCTGTAGGGCTGATGGAGGCACATGAAGGAGCATGTAATGGGGGATGTGTTTGCTGTGCCCTGAGCTACTCATACCTGGTTGCTTCACAACTCCTGTTCACAGAACTACCTCTTTTATTTCTAGTCACTGTGGGGTATTTTGATAGAAGTGAAGGCATGTGCAAACAGGGTAACAGAGGAGAATTTGGGGCCCTTGTTAAACTGTGGGGTAAAAGACCAAGAGGTCGTGCCAGCCACACTTATCT